ACACAGTATACAGGGAGCTACTGAAGAGAATGGGGGACTGCAGGGTCATTTGGCCAGTTGGTGCACTCCTTGTTCTTGTAGTGGGTATATGTCATAATAAATTAGATATATGCTTAGTGTTATCGGGACAGAGACAGAAATAAACATTTCATAGAGGTTGTAGCCTTCCCCTAGTCTACTGAAGAAAAGCTGTGTGTGTTGCTGTTGGAGCACTACCCTCACTTCCTGTCTAGTAAAATGTTGTCAACAGGACAGGAAATGAGCGTAAATCTCTCTGGGCCTGTTCACACGATCCACAGACCACAACATTTTTTACCTGCACCAAAACCACATACTCAGTAATTCAAATGGTTTTAAATAAGGCTAGTTCACACAACTGCATTCAGTTCCAGAATGTTTAAAAAAAAAAGTACAGCATGCTTTATTTTTTCACACTGGAATGCAAATAAACACATGTACATGCAGCACAATGCACTAGAACACACTTAAAACCAACTGAGAACAAAGAAAGCAGCAGAATGCATCAACAATGTGCCAAAAACGCACACATGCACATGTTTGAAGGAAATGTTTCTACTGGACATAAACTTTAAGTATAGAGCTGGTTTTGTGCAGAGTAAGCCATTTAGGCTTCTTTGTAAGGCCTGAGTTACTATTAGATATAAAAAAGAATGAAAGTTTTTGTGTGCTATAATGTTATTATATTCTTACCGGTACTTAAATTACCTTCCTTATAATGAAAAAAAAGTCTATTTATATTTATTTATCTCAGCAAAAACTTTCCTGATCTGAATCTACTGAATCTAAACATCCCAGGATCAGCATTACCATTGCCAGCAGCAATGAACTGTGCAGAATATCAATTAACTCTAATGGAATAGAAATAGAAATGACATGACTCATACTTTGCTTTGCTATGCAGTGGAAGCATTGTCCATCACAAATACAAGGAATTTATTTTCTGCCGATTAGAAGTGAAATTATATGCTATTTGTAATAAAGTAAAAAGTGCCTGTAACATGGGACAAATGATATGTCCTGGGGAGAATATGTCACATAAACAATCATTGCAAACTATTTCAAAAGAACAACTACACACAATTTGTTGAAAGCGTTCATTTTTCATAACAAGTACAGATGAGTGACTGAAATGTGAATGGTAGAAGCATTTCTTCTACAAACGGAATACAACGGAAACACCTTGTCTCCAGTCAGACAAGGTCCTTTGTTGCTGGAGTTAGCGAACTGGCACACAAACAAGATACCTGTAGGGGCTTTTATACTATTGTTGAAATCAGAATTCCTGCAGACACAGAAACTTGTAATTCAGGACACTGTCCAGCACAGGTAGGAATCTCATGAAGCTAGTTTGTTGCAGGATACCACATAAAGGAAAACAGAGGAGCAACATAATCTCTAGGATTCTTACACAACAGCAGATGTAAAACAGGAAAGAAATTAGTTCCAGGTGTCACGTGGTAACAGAGATAAAACTCAGTGATACATTCTGGTGGAAATAGATCATTCATGACTCAGGCCTCAAGTCCTTAAGCCCCTCATATGTGACCAACACATGCAGGATCCGAAACTGCAGGCCTGCAGCCTGGTCCCTAAACCTATGCTTTCCAAAGGCTTTATATAGATAGTTACTCCCACAAACCTCAACCAATGCTTCAGATACTTAAACCCCTCATATGTGACCAGGCAACACATATTTCGCATTGCCTGATCTTCTCTCCACGATAAGAGATTTCAGGCCTGCAGCCTAGTCCCTCAACTCAAGCTCCCTCAAGTACACAGTGATATAGTAGCAAACATTTCTTGTTTCAATGTGCCATGCCATGATAAGTTCATCTACCTGCTCCTGTAGACTGTTGTGGGGAGTATTGCACTGGAAGTTTTATCATTGCCTGGGTTGAAAATTGAACATCTAATGGAATGCCAGACATGTAACTTTTGGCATTGCAACACTAGAGCTAATCATGTAATTATGGCAAAGGCAGAACCTCCTGCGTACAACTCATCTGTAAGAATTCAGCAGTTGCATTGTAATGACATATCTTCCTATCAATACACCAGAAGCAGGTAAAGAGTTGCCATAAAGTTTTTACTTTAAAAATCAATGCAGTTAGGTAAGCAAACTGGGATTTGTAGTGGATCTTAGTGCATATGGAAGAGTATAAGCCAATACAGTGCTGAATTAACAGACTTGGCCCACTTTTTATAATATTTTCTAACAGTGCTAAACGGTCCGTGCACCTTTTAACTTTTCTATACAAAATTACCAAGTAATTATTTTATATGTTAATTAAATATCAGTAAGTATTAAAAAAAAAAGAAAAATGCATAGGTACTTTAATCTGCCCTTATCTTAGCTTCATCTAATCCTCTGAATAGCAAGAGTCAAATTGAGAGAAGAAGGGGAAGAAGTCTATTAGACTGTACTGCATTATACCATGATGGCAATCTAGCACTGGTCACCTGCTGACAAGCAAAAAAGCAAACAAATTAGGTCACCTGCATAGTTCTGCTCTTTTATTTTCCTATCAGCAGGCTATATATATATATATATA